GCCTCAAAGAATCAGTCTCACTCGATCACACAGCCACTCAGTTTTCCTCCATTTATTTTCCCTATTGTCATTTTCAAAACCAAGTCATATTATTTGATTAATTCAAGATAAGATTTTTATCTAACATTTTCATTGTTCAACTATGCACCTACTGACTGATTCCTAAAATTCTCTTTAAAATCTTATAAGTTGTGCTGGGAATGGAAGGCAGGTGTAGAGGACTCAGGAGCATGTGCAAGGAACTGGATTTGTTCACCAGTTTTATAAACTTTCCTTCATTAGTTTACTTCCCTTATGTAATGCAACGAACTTTGCTGACTTTTTGTCTATATTACCTTTAATATGCTTTAGTATCGCTGATAGACTTTTCTAATTTTGCTTTGCTTTCATGTTACCCCAAAATAATCTTAATTTATAAATCAATATTGGTGCGTGGAGAGATGGCTCAGAGGTTAACAACACTGGACGATCTTCCAGAGGAACTGAGTTCAGTTCCCAGCACCTACATCAGGTGACTTACTACCATATGTACCCGAAATCCAATGTATATGACACCTTCCTCTGGCCTCCGTGGGTACCCACACACACATTGCTTGCACACACACACACAAACATAAATAAAAATAAAGCATGGAAGGAGAGAAGAGACTCCCAAGAGCTGTCCTCCGATCTCCACAAGTGCGCTGCAATGTGTGCTCACTAGCCCGTACACACACAAAAAATAAATAAATGTAAGGAAAGAAAAAATAAATGTCATTGGTGAAAAAAATGCACAGGGAATGTGCCTAAGGAAGGAAAAATATCACCAATAATGTTTCTTTACCTATTAAGGAGAAAACTTTTGTAAGTTCTTAAATTTATTGTGTGTGTCACTTAACAATGATGTAACATCCTGAGAAATGCATTGTTGGATGATTTATCACTGGGTGAACATCACAGAGTAAACTTGCACAAAACAGTATTGAACAGTTTATTATGCCCCTATATACTATAAACTAAGACTCTCAGGTTGCATACATGTAGAGCACACTAAATACAGAAGGCATTTGTGTATCTGAACATATCTAACCATAACAAGGTACAGTAAATATACTAAGCGATAGGAACTTGGTAAGTCTAGAATAATGTTGAAAGGACCGTAATCATATTTGTACCTTTTCATTTATGGAATATCATGATGGAGGACAGTAGATTGTATACTATGTAGCTTGTGTAGCTTGTGGTCTTCCCATGTTCTTGTGTATGTGGGTGAATGCGTGTGTGTGTAGGGGGGGGTGCATGAGCATGTGTGAGTATCTGAAGATAACCCTGGTTGTTTCTCAGGCACCATCATCCTTGGTTCTGACAGGGTCTCTCACTAGCCTGGAACTCATTTAGCAGTCTCTTCATGCTGACCAATAAGCCCTGGAGATCTGCCTGTCTGCACTTACCTTCCCTGCTCTGGGACTGCAAACGCACACCACCATGACCAGTTTTTTATGTAGGTTCTTTGGAAACAAACTCAGGCCCTCAAGCTTGTTAGGCAGGCAGTTTACAGACTGAGCTAACCTCCCAGCCCCTAGCTTGTAGTCTTAAACTAAGATGGAAATGGATATTACTGCTGTTTAGTGAACAGGCTGTGGTACACTTTGTCAATTGTTTACGTAACAGTTGAATGAGAAATTTTTCAAACATAAGATTAAATTATGAATCTCAAATTTACCTAATACTAGTAAAATTCTGTTTCAAAGCTTTATTTAATACAAATAATTTAAAATAACTTTTAAATTTGATTCTTAAATAAGACACTCATTCTAAATTGTAGGTAGCATTTATAATAAGGCAAACTAGTTTATGTCCTAAAGTTTTATGAAGTGTTTGGAAATATAAGTTTGTAGCGATTCAACTACTCTAAAATAAAGGAAATGAACTCTATAATAACTAGTTAAGAAACTAAGAGAATAGAATTGGGTCCATGAAGCACTGCTTTCACTGTACGACATTACTATGCAGGTGGGTACTATAATCACTGAATATCAAGTAAGACCAAAGAGCTCATGAAAATATAGAGGGGAAAAAATCTATGAGGACGAACATAGCAGTTCATTAAGACTGGGTATTGGAGGCAGATTAAGTTGTTGGCTCTGACATTCGCCAGTTACATTGCACATAGGATATGTATCTAACATGCTGAGCATCAGCTTCCTTACCAATAAATGGTGATGCTCATACTTCTCCAGGAGGATCCTATAAAGAATGAATATGGTAATTTATATAAACATTTAACTCACAGTATTAATGGTACATGGCATCACTAAATCTTAGGGATGCTAAGTAAATGACTCTTCTCAGCACTGAACAAAACATGTACATTATGCTTAAGAAAAATAGCAGGATGTTGACCCAAATGAGTACTTACTGACAAATCAAGGAAGGTCTACAGGGTGAGATCTAGACCATTTTAACGGTTACTTGGGTTGTGAACCCAGTTATGTTTTAAGTAATCAGATTACATTATAAATCCTTGATGCTTGATTTGTGTTATTAAAGAAATGCAACTTGCTAATAAGTTTAGATGTAGAGGTTTATTTATTTATTACTTATTTATTTATTTACTTACTTATTTAGAGACAGAGTTTCATACATCCTAGGTTAGCCAAAAAGTCACCATGTACCTAAGGATCACTTTGAACTTATGGTCCTCTTGTTTCTGCCTCCTGGGTGTTAAGGTTATATGTGTACGCCACTGTGCCCATTTTAAGAGATGCGAGGGATCAAACTCATGGCTTGTGTAGAAGTTAGGTAAGCGCTCTACAAACTGAACCACATCCAGTTCCAGTTTATGTTTTTGAGTTATTACTTTTAAAATAATATTAAGTTAACTAAATGCATTCTAATTCTGTATAAAATGGTAAAACACATTGTGGATAATATATTGAAGATAATTTAAACAAATATGGTCATGATATACATTATGCTATGAGGCATTGTGTGAAGTATCTAGTAAATATCCCTAACATTGGAATTCTTAGGAAAGACAACCAGCTAAATGATAAACTAAGAAATACTTTTAAGGTACTCAGTAAAATTTCAAGATTGTCAGAAACATTCAAATATTATATAGTAAAGACCAAGGTTTCCATCTCTAAAAATTTATGAGAGGAAAGAAAAAATGTGGTTAGTCATATAGTTTTATGCAAAAGTATATAAGAACATTCTTATTTATACTGAAGTGATTTAAGTAGATGACATTTCAGATTGTATTTGGTAGAGGATTTTAGAATTGTGATCCTCAAAGAAATTCTGATGAAATACAGGAAATTGAAGAGACAGCTGTGAAGTTTTTCAGTTTTAAAAATATGATAAAATCTACAATCTGACATTTTATTTCTGCTTTCATGTTTCAAAACATGAACATTAAAAATATTAATGTAAGTTTTCTACAATAAAGTCTAGGCCACCATATATATATATATATATGTCTTTTTTGAGACAGGGTCTCCCTGTAGCCCCAACTGGCCTGAAACTCACTATGTAGACCAGGCTGGCCTTGAACTCACAGAGATC